TATATATATATATATATCTCAAATTCAGCTACGCATAAACAATCTTTTTAGATCCAAATTATCGTATTAGAGTCTGTATTAAACTAAGAAATTGTGTAGTGGGTGTAGTGGGTCAACACCTGGGTAGTTTTATCTTTAGTCCATTTTAATACACAACCTATTACTAGGATCGTGTAAAAGTATGATTAGCTGATAATATATGAGACAGAGAACACAGTAATGGTACTGAGATTATAAATATTTTCTACTAGCAGCAAACATCATGAACCAAGCAAGAGAAAATCACGACAATAAGTTATTGGTGAACGACGAGTATTTCTTAAAGCCTGAAATCGCTAAATACATGGAGAAATTTCGCGACAAGTTCTCTATGCACATTTTCAGTGTGTTTGGTGATAAAAACAACGACATTAAGCCACTTGAAATGGAAGAATTGGAACAGTTCATCCGCATGAATACAGTCATCGGTATCTTCACTTACGACGACGCACCAACAATTATTGCATATATTGTCACGAAAGAATTTCCTAACCTTTGTGGTCCATCATTGATGTCAGAGTTTTACTGCTTCAACAAGTATTACACCTATCAGCTTATTGATCCAGACCCGATTCCCTTCAAGTTTGTTGACCTGCGCGCATGCGCTGACAGGAGTGATGCGGCAATGTCGGAGATTCTAAAAACCACAGGTGTTCCTGCCTTCATCAAGCTAACAACATCCGTGGCAACAAAAGACGTTTACATTGCTTATAATAAAAAAAAACTTAAGACTGGTTATTGACACATTAAGTGAGTTAACAACGGAGACAACTGACGTTAAAACGTGAGCAATCAACATACATGTCTTCCTTCACGGGATCACACAGGTCCAGTGCAGTCGGAGAATTGTAGAATTCCATGTCAATTATTTCACCTAGCCTCCCAGACTCGAGTATAGACAAGTAGAGTAGGCCAGTTCGCTTTCCGCTGTGTAGAAAAAATATATATTAGTACATTATCTGAATGTTCACTTGTTTGCTTTTTTTGGTCAACACAGTGTTGCATGACGATGTATGTATCGTTCATTTGATGCACGGCATGTGGCGGCTTCAGGGCCGTAGCCTGACGGTGCAAGTTAGGGAAGCTGCCCCCTAGATTTTGCAGCAAAATTAAAAAATAAGCTTGGCTAATAATCAGAAATAACCCTAACCTAATTTTTTTGGTCAATTAACCGTGAAAGCCTTGGCTCAGACCCACCCCTAGCACATTATGGATGTCGATCAAGAGCTGCGCCCATCGCTCATCATTACAAAGTTGAGTCAGAAAATTTTGCCCCCCCCCTAGGAATTTGCTCAGCCTACGGCCCTGGTCTTTGTTTACATTAAGAAGCTTTTGGAATTACGAAACACATAAATCAAACTCTAATCTTTAATTGCATAACGGATCACATTGATATACTCATATATTTGTAAGTTCCTTGTACTAGATTAATGTAAAATAATACGGATATGGTCATTTGACAAACAACTGGTTTAAAGTTTTGTGTTGTTGACAATAATCATTGCTGTTGGCTAGAAAAGGGTAAACTACGCTGCAAGCTGCAACCTATAGTAGTTATATAACTTCCCCCTATGCATGACTACACGGGAAGAACTCTGTATTATTCCATTATTCATCACACCTTCCGTACTTTTCTTTTAACACCTTTCTCGGACCTTTGACCAGCACTATAATTAATTAACACATAAGCACTTCGTACTTATAGGTTGGTGGTGTAGGACGTACGCCCGTGGCAATGTCGACTACTGCAGCCACCATGTCACCGTTGTTCAGGACATAAGATGATCTATGCACAGTAAAGATAGTTCTTCCATTGATCTCCATCAAGTGTACATCGCCCTGCTTAGTTACAAACATCTCAGCCTCGATAAATTGATCGTCGTAGCCATATTTGATGAGGTTTCGTGCCACCTGGTCGAATTTATTCCAAGCCTTGTCGACTGTAGCAGGGCTATGTTCGCTTGGGAACACGTCCGCATGAACCAACTCTGGTTTCATTGGCCAGCGGTTTACATCACCTGAAATTAATGTAATCTTGATGTAGTACCTGGTTATGGTACGGAAAACTAAAGCAATAAAATCTTCTTCACATTCATTTGGTATCAGGACAAGGACCCCTGGAATACTCACCCCCGGACAACACCCCCCGGACAATCACCCCCTGACAATCACCGCCGGACAATCACCTCCGGACAATCACCCCCGGACAATCACTCCCGGACAATCACCCCCTGACAATCAACGGCGCGGACAATCACCCCCGGACAACCACCCCAATAAGCTACAGTATTTATGTCACATTCGAGTTTTTGCAGATGGGTGCTCTGAAAATGATTAAGGTGTTACTCAAGTACAAACTCCTATTGCTTTCGTCCAGCATCTACCAATAAATATTGATTGGCTATAATTGGCTATTAATTATTAATTATATTAAATAGATAAATGTCTCCCACATACTGGTGTATCGTGCCATATTTTATGTACACAGACACATACTGGGTGAGGTAGGCGTGTTAGAGCAAGATATTACACAACAACGTTGCTACACCCTCAACTAATTAAAAAAGCTTGTTTTATACTTATATGATGCTCGTTCAAATGTAATTTATTGGCAACCACGTTATATAAACCACAATGGCAGTGTGGCAAAAAGTGGCTCTTGGGCTACGTTCGGGCATCCGCAGCGAATGTTGCAGCGTGCGTGCGCGAGCGGAGGTGCAAGTGTGCGTGCGTGGCGTGCGTGCGTGCGTGGATGGCGTGACTACGTATACGCTGTCATTTCACCAAGTGGCGAGATAGATAAGAGATGTTTCGCAAAAAGAAATGCAAAATTTATAAGCCTACATGTATAGAAACACGTTTCCGCGGCGTGGCACGCTTGCAAATAATAATTATTCTTTTCGTATCGCTGAATGGAAAACTGCAAAGCGACATTTGAACATTGTTTGTTTTACAACTCTTGCGTTTCTGCTCAAGAACCCCCGTTATCACATCATGCGACTCGTATGGGTACAAGCGCGCCCATTTTGTGGTATTTTGCTGCGTCAGGCTGAAATCTTACCAAAGAGCAAAGCCAATCAGTAATCGGAAGTTGATAACGTACACAGTACACAGAGTTATGATAACAGCATTCACTTACCTATGTATAGTTGTTACATTTCGATATTTCTCAGTAGAGTGCACGTTACATCGTTACCAACTTGTATGTACCAACCTGAAAACCAGAAAGCCAGAGAAGAAAAGATAGGAGAGGAGAATAGAAGAGAAGAGAAGAGAGGAGACGGAAGGAGAAGAGAGGAGAGCCTAGAGGAGAGGAGAATAGAAGAGAGGAGAGGAGAATAGAAGAGAGGAGAGGAGAATAGAAGAGAGGAGAGGAGAATAGAAGAGACGAGCAGAGAAGAGAAGGAGAGACCAGGAGAGAAACACTGGTATGTATATGCTAAAATTATTTATTTTATTTTCTCTTCTGTTCTCATGTCGCTGAAGAAGTTAGTGCTTTTGCTGCGGCTACTATTATATTACTAATGTTATAACGCTAAGATTACACTTCGCAGCTAACACAAAAACGTTATCATAACGTTTTCATAACGTTATGCAAAAGTTGTTATAACGTTTTTTGTAACGTTTATATAACGTAAATGTGTAGGGGTTTTATAACGTTGTCTAAACGTTTGTAAAAACGTTTTCATGTAACGTTAACATAACGTTATTGTATGGGGTCCTGGCAACGTTGAAATAACGTTAGTTAAGGATACTCTCCACCTTTTGCACGGGTATTGCTCTAGTGAAGATTAAACGTTTATTGGCAAATGAATCGAATCATTCACTTGTTTTATTTATAGAGGAGATATATCTCTATGCTCAAGCCAAAAAATTTCATGAAATTTCCAGCACCTAATTATGTTACCACACAAATTTTGAATTTTTATGTAAAAATGGTATTTTGGATATTTCTCAACTACCAGAAAAAGTGAGGATACAAAATTTTTGCCACATGTTAAGCACAATATGGACCAAAATAGTGGGTCTGGATTTTTTTTAAATTTTTATATTTACCGAGAAAACTGAAAAAAACTGCTTAAAAATCAAGTTGTGTGTTAGAATTGAAAATTTTAGCGAATAAAGAGACATAACTAATATAATACGGCACTTAATAACAATCCCTGACGCCTTCTTCACAGCAATATGTTACCATTAAAACGAGTGTAAAATTTAATTAATCCGGGTTGTAATCACCGAGAAATATCCATTTATACATCGGCTACTATGTGAGAAATCGAAACGGAGAAATCATCGTTTTTCTATTTTTCACAATGAGTGACCGCCTGACAGATGTGAAAAATGGGTGAACGTATGTGAAATATCTACTGTTAGTACTTACTGCGACATATCCATGACTAACTGACACGACTAAATTGGTAAAATGTTCCATGCACCTTGAGAAATTCTGAGAAAGTACGAGGTTACCATCGCAGAACGCGCGAACTCCGCTCATCCTGACGTCACAAAGCTAATATGTCAACAAACGCGCG